ATGAAGGACACCGCCGTAAAAGGCTTCTGGAATTTTGACCATTGGGCTCCTTCAACGTGCACGTAAACATAAATACGTGGGTCTTTAGCATTATCGCATCCACTGAGAGTATGCCTGCGGCGGCCAGTTTTTTCATCCCGCAAAATCCAAGCACGGTGTAAGATACAAACCATAGTGTTTCATACATCATACCTACAGAGGAGTCTGGCGCTGCGATCGTGTGCTTTTATGGGAATTATGGGAAGTACAGGCTTCGGATTGAATAGGGTTAGCTAGCGAACTGTCACGCACTTTTTTCTACAGAATAAGTTTCGTTTTTTTGCGCAGTGTAGGTAGTGGGGCACGGTGAAAAAGGCTGAATTAGTGCCTTTGTTGTTGGAAGAGGCTGACGACCACTATATCGCCTGATTTACTGCGACGTTGTAGCTTCAAGAGTCGTATTAGGGGCGAAGCTCCTCATGGCATGGGTCTGTCGCTCCTCCGTATGTAAGTTTTTCTCACTAAAAACTGTACTGTCATTTCCATAAATACACAGTACCTACTTTCGAGAGAAAAACAAGCACGTTTGTTTTGAAGTGTTGTAAAAAATGATTCATTAAAGATTGATATTGAATCTGGAGCGCAATGGCAAAGCGATGCATACCCTGATGATTAAATCTGCCCGGATTTCACTTTTGCTTCCTGGTCACAAAAAAACTTTTTGCAATAAAGTTTGCATACAAATAATTCAAGCAAATTTTAAAGAAATATAAGTTATAACACTTTGTTTCCCGCTCGGAAGAGAAGCGTCGCAAATCTCAAGCGCGTAATCCATTCGACGCGGGTCCGAAACCTGTATTTCCCATAATTTTTGTGGGGCTACAAGCGCCGCTCAAGGAACCCGTGTTCGCCATATTCCTCTCTAGGTATTATTGTAAGAAACTGTATGATACAAACTTTTCAGGTGGGGACACTCGCGAGACGCGATCAAACAGATAAAGTAACAGTGACGTGCGTCCTTCGGACCACTGCCAGCGGCGAGTAGACGCAACTTCAAACAGAAAGAGGCGTTGATACACCAACCGGTCCTTCGCGGTAAATTTCAATTCATTTACACAAGAGCGTTGTTTCGGCCGACTGTGAAAATTGATTATTCTCACCAAGCATGACGGAAGTTTGCGACGCGCGATAAGCGTGGTCTCCATGCTTCTCTATTCAACGCATGTAGGTATTTGAAGATGCTTCTCACACGTCCTGTGAACTTTATACTGCTTGGGGCGTAACGGACACGAACATAACTGACATCTCCAAAATTTTCTATAAAGCGGCTCTTCATTTAAATCCGCTGGTTTTCTAGTATTCGCTTTTGGTACGTGGTGCACTCAAATCGCCAAGCTGCATGACCTGGGGAGCACGCAAACAGAGTGGTGGGACGCACATGCTTTGGATGACCAGCAAAGCAGGATTTGAACAAGACCATTTGGTTACTCGTAAAAATAGAAGCAACCACTTACATACCCAGACCAATTTGTTGGCGTGCGTTATAAACCTACCGTTTGATGTTGCGACAAATTCTATCATCGTGGCACTAGCGGTGAATATACGGCGTGGCATTCACGATTACCTTTTGGGATCGGGACATGTTAACGCGGGACCCTGCGCCAATCTTCTCGCTGATTTCACCATCCCTTCTTAACATTCACGGGAAGAACATTACAGAAATGTTTTTACGCATTGAACAACCAGCGGACTTTTTGATTAATGCCACTACAAATGAGCTCTTAGAAAACAGTGAATGCACAACAAAATGTTGGGAAAACTTGTTTACTACGTTTGTAACTAAAAAAACGCTATTTCAACGTATCATTGTGTTGCACGAACATAAAACAGTGAAGATTATTAATTTACATTCACGACTTAGTGAATGTACCTATTGAATCTCTTGCAACTTGCACCACCACAAAGTCAAAACATGTTCGAACAGTGCAACAAGAGGAGTCTAAACGTTCCAAAGCCTTGCCTCTTTCTTTCTGTTACAGCTTTCTTCAGCTGTATTTCGGCCTTGCGTCTTGCAGTATTGCTGCATTCTCGTAGTGATAGAAAAACGCAGGATCCTGGCATCTGCGTCAGAATTGTGCTCACTGCACCAAAACTTCAACTTATGTTCAGTGACAACGTGATGCGCTCTGAACGCCAGCGTTTGCACTGGCCTCGCTGATGTGAAATTTTATTTTAAGTTGCGCTGGCTTGCCGCTAGACGCGCTGCCGGAAGCGGTCCGATCATCGTGCGTCTCTTCTACTTTATCTGGTCGATCGCGTCTCATAAGAAAGCCAAGATCAATGAATGAATGCAAAACTTTATCTCAAATATTTTTTTCCTGTGAAGCTGGAGCCCTCAGTCCAGGGCCCCTGTGTACTTTGCCACCTTGCAAGCTTTGTCGATCAGCTTGAGCTGTTCTTCAGGCTTAGAGCAGGAGAGCGCAGCCTCCCACTGCACCGGTGTAGGTGTACACTTTCTTGATACTACCTGTATGTGTTGGCAGGCCCATTTCACGTGGCAAAGTCTGGGGTGTTCTCTGCATAGCGGGCATTTGTTGGCACATATTCCCGGACAGATTATAATCAGAAGACTTAGATAAGGGTATAAATTTGTCTGCAGCTGTCTCCAGGCAACAGACTGCTTTCTGCTGAGGCCTTAGTGGGGAGGGAGGGGGGGTACATTTTTTCAGGGCTTTCTGGTCTTCTAAAATTGTTTGATAGCATCTCGTAACTGTGGCTAGTTCCTCGTAGTTGTGGACTCCCCGGCCACCTTATGCCCGGACACTAGCGTCGGCACGATGGTTTTCTGTCACACTTTCAGCGCCTGGTGTGCACGTAATGGAGCAGCTCGAGAAGGTCATTTTTCTTCTCTTGAGTAGGTGGATGGCCGCAGTAGATATGCGTCCACTGCTGTACCGTCGACACGCTTCTTGCGAGTCAGTAGCTATTTCTGTAGTATACTCCTCGCTCTGGTGTGTGATGGCGAGTGCGATCGCTACTTCCTTAGCCTCGAGGATATTATTGCTTCTGATCGAAGAGCTGTTGACTTCCCTTGTTGATCAGCAGGGGAAGTCAAGAGGGGAATTCGGTGATCAACAACGCTTACAACTGTCCCGGATTTCTCTCTGTGTGTGGTCGCGTCAACATACAATACGTCGGTTCTCGCCTTGAAATTTTTTTCGTGTGCTTCTGATCTGGCTTTTCTTCGAGCCTTATGGATTTTCGAATTCATGTTTCGAGGTATTGGGCTGACTTCAATAATCTACCGAATGTCCTTCGGTATGCTAACTCTGTTATTGATTTTTCCGCAAGCATCCCTCATGCCCAATGTCTGCCACGTGTACCTGCCCGTAGCAGCCAGCAGTAGTCTAATTTTCTGCGCCAGATGTGCCTCGATGTGTTCTTGTACTGTGTTGTTTATCCCAAGTTTAAGGAATTTCTCTGTCGAGGTGTTGACTGGTAGATCAAGCACACATTTGTAGGCTCTTATAAGGATTGCCTGTCATTGTTCTTTTTCCTGCGCGAGCTGTGTTTGATTGGGGACACTGTATACAGTCCTGCTTACTACGAGGACCTGTACTAGCCTACAAGTGTCCTCCTCCTTCATACCCTGTCTTTTGTTGGAGATTCTGGTGTTCATCCTCGTGATCTGCGCTGCAGTTTTTAACAGCTGTCTGATGGTGTAGTCTATACACAGTTACTAGGTATTCACATGCCGAGAATCCTGATTTGGGATACTTCTGGAATCTTCTTCCCCCCTATATAGACTCTTATGAATTTTGCAGGTTCAATTCTAGTCTGTAGACTCTCGGGACTTCGGGTTTCTCCAGGGAGCAAACAACGCCGCATTGTCGCACGTAGTCGTGGACTGTATCTACAGAGCATTGCAGAAGGTCTTGTTTTTGTCCTAGGAATTTTCTTGTCACCCAGATTATTACATCGTGTGCGTATATCGCATGTCTGGGTACTTCAATTTTCGCCTAGTTTTCGAGCTAAACCAATCATAACGATTAAATAAAGACGAGAAGTGTCACCACCTAAATTGTTTATATTGTACACCTTGCCTCCGAATTAGCGTTAAAGCACAGTGACCGCTGTTGCGCTGGATAGCTTGCTACTTGGTAACGTGGCAGTGGCGTCATAAATCTCACCCACTTATTCACTTTCATAATTTCACATATTTTCCAAGAAATTCAATGATTCAGAGGATACTGCTAAGACATAATATGCGCGTCTTTGAAGACCCGCCACGATGGTGTAGTGGTTATGGCACTCAGCTGCTAACACACAGGTCGTGGGATCAAATTGCGGCCACGGCTGCGGCGTTCTCGATGAAGGTGGAAATACTTGAGGCCTGTGTGCACATTAGGCGCACGTTAAAGAACGGCAGTCAAAATTTCTCCAACTTTCCAAAACGACTTCTCCCATAACCATATCCTGCTTTTGGAATGGTAAACACCAGTAAATAATATTAACCTCCTATAACACTGGGTAGTTCAACTGCATCGGCATGTAATTACCAGCCTGCAGAAGCATCGGCAAGCGAAAATCAATTATAGGACGAAGGTTGTTCCACGAATGCCGGAAAAGCACTTGAAGCTACGCTGGTTTTCTTGAAATATGACGTTGTGTTGTGTCTTTAACTGGCAATAGCGCACGAACTCCACTATGCGTCACATGATGCAGCCTCTTGCCAGTGCCGCTACACGGCCGTCAAAAGAAAAGATTCCTGTTGTGATTCCACGAATCTCTCTACTAAAGTTTGGCAAGCCACCACAGACCTTGAGATATCTTTAAGAAGACCCGTATCTACCGCCGCCGGGCTATTATTTGAAAGCGCCTTCCAAGACCAACACTTCAAAGCAAAAAAAGCTTCAGTTGAAATATGAACTGCACTAAGTGTTATCTTCACATTCAGCGAAAGCCGCGTCACGACACTTGATCGTCATTTATCTGCGTCCGTTTTTTCCAAGTCGTGCAGCTCAAGTTATTGCACTCATCTTGCCTGAAAGGGACAGACAGTCGTATAAAGGTTTCTGGTGGGGCTCAAGACTGCGCATACTTGTTAGCTCTCACAAATACACCGAAGATGCACCATTGTCCTTTGGCGGTTTTGGTATTCGCCGTCGCTGCAGCACAAGGCGTAGCTCATGCAAGCCGGCCATCATGCACGGACCCCAGTGAGTCAGACTTTGAATACTACCGCTGCTTCAACTTCAGCAGCCCCGACGACTTCTCCACGCACCTCGTTCGCCCTCAACTTCACCAAGACTTGACCTTCATTCTCAAGGACAGTAGCTTGAGTCACCTGCCTGAGGGTGCATTCGCGCAGATAAACGCCAGCGTTCTGGAACTTAACAATGTGCGTCTGGACACCGTTGCACTGCCGGGAGAGAATCCTTTCGCAGGACTGGAAAGTTCTCTGAGAAAGCTTATCCTGAGCCATGGAACGACAATACCGACATCGTGGGCACAATTTTCGTCTCTCGGACAGCTGAAGACGCTCCGCATTTCTGAAGCAAGAAACGTCGTGCTTTCCAGAAGCTTCAACGAGTTACCACAAAGTGTCAAAGTGATCAACATCGCCTTCTCGGATATCGCATCGGTTGACGAAGACTGGGTGTCCAGTCTGGTGAACCTAGAGGTCGTCGGCATTCGTCATTGTAATCTGCAGGTGTTCTACCGATCCATGCTACCGAGACCAGCGCCAAAACTGTGGAGAATCGACCTTTAGTGAGTACCATTCGCGATAAGTCACGCACAAATTTTGGCCTTTAGTGATATGAGGTACTGCCGACTTTGAATGGTTAAGCACTCGCTATATGTGATCTGTACGCTCCCGCATTTACCTTCGCATACAGTTCACATAGGTGGATGTGGGGCGAGGCGGCTAGGCTGCTGACACGAAAGTCTTGGGTTAGATCCCAGCAGTGGCTGTCGCACCTCGATGAAGGCGAAATGGTAGAAGCCCGCGTAGTGTGCGGTGACAGTGCTCGTTAAAGAATGCCGGATGGTCAAAATTTCCGGAGCCTTCCACTATGGCGTCTTCCATAATCATATCGTGGGCTGGGGACGAAAAATACACATATTAAAAAGTAATTACATTCCCAAACGAACAAAAGATGCATATATACACGCCCTTAACAAATGCGCGCAAGAGTATACAAAGAGTATTCTTTAATTGCCTCCCGCCCTGAAAAAACCACCAGGTCTGCGTGAAATGCGCACCACTTTCACATTGAAAACTGAGAGAGCGGCCTTTCAGGGCCTTTTTTAACACTGGTCTTGTATTGTCGCCTAAAAAATCTTGGCTCATTCCCCACAAGGAGGATTGGCCGCACTGCACTTTATAACAAAAATTGAAATAAAACGCATCTTATACGAGAGAGAAATCAGATAATAACGAGATGTATTATAACGTACACAAAACGTTAGAGGTGTAAAAGCATTTTAAAAGCCAGATTTCAAGGATAACAAAAAGAAGGAGAGGGACGAAGAACTGTTTTCATCTGGCGGTACCATTAGCAACGTAGCTTACCGGTTGTATGAATGAATTTATGTAGCACGGACAGAATCGCACTGCAGCCCGCACCCTACTGACTGGCTCCAAATCACAAAAGTGTGGTTGTATCAAATGCCAATCCCAGCGTATCAATCGGCCCCTCGAGAATCATTCAGTGGAGTGTGGTAAAGCAGCGGCACGTGAGAAGGGAGTGATTTATTGTTTCCGGTTCATTGCACTTACACATAGGTTAGTTACTGATAATTCAGATTTTTGGAGATATTTTAACTCAGCAAGTTTACAGTGAAAGCTTTTGAGGGTCACCTCACATTGACGATAAAAGCATTTTGAGGTGTTCCATGTAGACTGGAAGTATACACCGGAACTCTTGAGATTATAGGAGCGCTGTTTCATTATTTTTTTAGACTAACAGGTGTTTGAATCGTTCTGCGGGAATAAACGTAAACTGGGGAGCTGCAAGTAATACCAGACCGTTTAAAGGCGCCGAAGCGAGCAAGTCAGCCATTTCATTTAGTACAATTTCAGCATGCCTAGCTGGGACACATAGAAAGCGGAGTTCTGACAGGCTATATGCGGTACGAGAGACGAAGATATCCTAAGAAAATGATACTGCTTAACAGACGTTAAATGTGTGCAAACAAACAAGACACCCCGAATAATAATAATAGCTTTTGATTGCTGAGAACCTATTTGGTGTAATGGCGCACCTGAACTGTGACATTATTCATTGTGGAGCAGGCAGGCATTCACTATGCCATCCTTTATCATGGTTGTAATTTCGCGAATACTCAGGACATAAATTTGTGATAGACACGAAGTATGTTACGTTACGTACAACTATTAATTTTCCGTGTTTCTGAGCGTTCTCAGCGAGAACACCCAGCTGCTGCTTCTCGGCGTGCACATCTGAATTCTGACGTTGGCGCCGATGAACGTCTTCTGCTCGAGCAGCTCGTGCACCAAATGCGGCAGGCGAACTGCCTCCTGTGGCTGCGTCGCTCAGGGCTAAGAAATACGGGTGGAAATACCATTACGAGAAAAGCGCTTCGGGCTTTGTGCATGACTTGTCAAACGTTTCATGGTATTATCAAACTTTGGGCTACTTCGTTATAAGAAAACAGTTAGATAGCTAAAGAGGGAGACAAAAGCAACTGCGACAACACGGACCAGCTCTCAGCTCTCACTTACTAGTGTCACTTTATTGCACACGAAGTGCATGTATATCGCTGAAAAAATACATTAGTTCTCTATCACGCACCAAATCCGCAGGACAACAAGATTCGATTCTTAGGTATATGGGTGATGTTTCCGTATTGTTATGCACGCCGGATGCAAGACTCCCTAGCGAAAACGTACACGTCGCCACAAATACGCTGGCTATTTTTTCAAAGTCGGAGTGGTTGCGAAGTGTAATGACTATGAAAATAAATCAATTTCGTTAAAATAATTCCCCTTGACATATGAGCTACATATCTGCATAGACACTGCTTCCAGTCAGGCATTGATATTAGAGTGGCACAATAATTCCGATAACCTCTCCACAGAGGCAGCCACCTGTGCTTTCAACCAGTTCAGTGTACAACTTCATGGGAGCAAATTGTTAGTAATAAAGGGGACTTTAGTCAGGGCTGCATGAAAGGTCATGAGGCACTACTATTCGTGAATCACAATACAGGAAGAGGAGGCGGAAGAGAAAAAAAGTGGTAGGGCAGAGAAGTCAGAAAAATACAGCTACTGCAGAAATACAGAAAATACAGAACGATACAAAAGCTTTTTTTTTCTTGCTGCTGCAGCGTTGTGGCCACGCGTTCTCATCAAGAACGCAAATTGTCGATGAGAGCATTCGTATTTGCTTGTCCTGAACTGCCCTTCGTAGATGTCCAAGAGTCATGCTGTACAAAACTACCGTGTTGCTTATGCAAAAATTCATAAATTCCACGAAGATAATACATTTTCTGTCGCAAAGCAATTTTCGATGCACAAACTTTGTTCCAGCTTAACTTTCACAGAGGCAGAATAGTCTGACTCTTCGTATTGAGGCCCCGCACGAAATTGTGTGTGCTCATCGTGCGTCGTTTACGTCAGGTTTTATGCCTGCTGAGAAACTTGTGTATCGTCCGTGGTGCCTGACACTTCCACAAGTACGTGTTTCAATTCCAGGAGTACAGAAAAAATCAAATTTGCCTTCATCAGTCCTAAAACAATTGAGCTTCAGCCTTCTGCACGAAAGGTACAACAACCACGTGCACATATACACCGATGGTTCAAACGCAGCGTCTGGTTCTGGCGGTGCGGTGGTAATTCCAGCTAGAGGAATCACTCTGCGAATCAAACTGTCACAAGTCACTACGTCTACGGTGGCAGAACTTGCGGCTTTGCGTGGCGCCCTAGAGTATATCAAATTCCAAAGACCGAGTAAATGGGCTGTGTTTGCCGACTCGAAACCAGCCCTACAGAGCATGCAGTCAGTCCTTCGACGTGGTTGCCATGAACAATTAACTTACGAAGTTGTCAAGCTTGTTCACCACGTCACAGAAACAGACCACGAGGTCAAGTTTCAGTGGCTTCCTGGCCATTGTGAGATCAGTGGCAATGATTCCGCAGACAACGCGGCTCGCACATCGCACCAAAAATAGTACACCCTTCTAATTCCTTTGTCAAGGGCTGACGCTGCAAAGCAACTTCTTCACCTGGCACGTAGTCTGAGTCTGCAGGAGTGGAACACCCCAAACATAGGACATACGAGACATAGGACATACGAAATAAAGCCTCGACTGGAACTTCGATCTCCATCCGGACTTCGTCGACGTGAATCTTCGCTTCTTTGTCGCCTTTGGTTGGGGGTTGCCTTCACAAAAGCATATAGAACCCTCATCGGATGGACCGACAATGCGGAATGCGACGTCTGCTGCACCAAAGAAGACATCGACCATCTGATATGCCATTGCCCTCGATTTGCCTCTGAAAGACAGAAGCTTTCGGACGCATTGCGACAATGGGACGATCGGCCACTCTCTGTGCAGATGCTACTCGAACACCGTCACCTCCTTTCGTCGGCTCAAAAAGCAGTCAAAGCTGTCTTGTGCTTTTTGAGGACTACAGGCCTACGTGAGCACCTTTACCTTTTGTGTAGTGCCACCGCTGCATACGCACCCAGCCGATTGAGTGACAATCCTCTTTTTTTTCTCTCTTTCTCTTTTCTTTCCTCTCTCTCTCAACTTTATGCCCCCTTCCCATTCCCCCAGCGTAGGGTAGCAAACCGGGCATGTGCCTGGTTAACCTCCCTGTCTTCCCTCTTGTTGTGTATCCCCCCACCCTTTGTATTGCGCTTTAGTTTCTTCAGTTTCAAAACGGAGCCGAATGTCATCCATTTTGGTTATTCTAATATAAAATCGCTTCATCACAATGGCGCTGAATAAACGCTGAGGCGACGGTATTTCGCAGAGTTTCGTGATGGCTAATCAGAATCTTGTGACACCAGCTCGCACAGAAATTCTGGTACTGAAGTATCTCTTTTGCATTAGCTTGACCCCTAGCTGACCACTAAATTTTGTGGCCAATCGATAACTTTTGAAAGAATGCCTGAGCCCACAATTTTTTACACGATGACTATCGTTTTTTGCGGAATATACACCTCTCGTTCCATAAAGCACATTAACAACATCATCATCATCATCATCATCAGCCTGACTACGTCCACTGCAGGACAAAGGCCTCTCCCATGTTCCGCCAGTTAACCCGGTCCTGTGCTTGCTGCTGCCAATTTATACCCGCAAACTTCTTAATCTCATCTGCCCACCTAACCTTCTGTCTCCCCCTAACCCGCTTGCCTTCTCTGGGAATCCAGTTAGTTACCCTTAATGACCAGCGTTTATCCTGTCTACGCGCCACATGCCCGGCTCATGTCCATTTCCTCTTCTTGATTTCAACTATGATATCCTTAACCCCCCGTTTGTTCGCTCATCCACTCTGCTCTCTTCTTAACTCTTAAGTTTACACCTACCATTTTCTTGCCATAGCTCGCTGCGTCGTCCTCAATTTAGGCTGAACCCTGTTTGTAAGTCTCCGGGTTTCTGCTAAGTAGCGGCAAGATACAGCTGTTATATATACCTTCATCTTGAGGGATAGTGGCAATCTACCTGTCATAATTTGAGAGTGCTTGCCAAATGTGCTCCACCCAATTCTTATTCTTCTAGTTACTTCAGTCTCG